CACTCGCACACAAAAGCAGCCATCGTGTACTAGCTCGGGTCCTTTGGATCATGCTCTTCACCCACATCCGCTTTCTAAAAAGCCTAAGGTCAACAGCTTCCTCTATTCTCTCTCACTTTCACACCCTGCCTCGTTTTTCATTCACTATTCCCATTACAGCATCTGGAGACAATTCTGGCTAAACGCTCTGACTAAAATCCTCCAATCTTCCTATGAAAAAGTCGCAATTTGATTTTCAGAATTTTATGTTATCAATACCCTTTAACAGCTTTTGTAATTCAAGTCACTGTAACCACACAGCAGCCTTGTGATCTGCACAAGGATAGGCCAAAGGAACAGAGGGCAATGCTTCAAGGACCCTCAACATAAAAGCTTCCTTCATAGAGAGATCTGTCCTTTTGTCTGTGTGCATCACGACACAGGCTTCTATTCTTGCACCGGAGATTGGGTAAATGAAATTGCATGTTTGCTTCGTGAGGCAAGGGTCCATGAGGACGCAAGAGAGACCACATCATCTCTGCTTCCTGGTCATGTGACCCAGGGCAAGTCAGGAAACCAGAAACCTAAATAACTCCCATGACTTCTCCTTCCCCACAAGGTTCTGATCATAATACACCAGCTGACAAGAAGAGGTTACACGCTGGGCAACTTGTTCAGAGACTTTCATTTTGCAGATTATGGGAACCACTGATTTGAATGGTCTTACCAAGTTCCAGGTTTTTGTGTAACAAAATGTTTTCAATGCAAAAGCCACTACATGTCTAATACAACTGTGTTTTCATTTTATTATATCGATTATAGTAGGAGTTTGTCAGCTTTTACAGAATTTAAAAAGACACATTTATGTAGTTCATATCCACATACGCCTATGGAATCTAAAATTAGGAATTCCTATAGCTCTAAATATAGTGACCCTGAATACGGATTCATAATATACTGTTAACAGCTGGCACTGAAATCGCACACTGACATTACAGTCATACGTACTCAGGGTGGGGTCATGAGGAAACATGCCAACCAACAAGTATGATGCACTTGTATGCTATGAAGTCTATTGTTTATAAATACGAGTGGTGACTCTACTGCAAAGAGGGAAAAAGAAAAGACAACCTACAGATATAAATAAAAATATTAACCTAAAATGGGGAGGGGGGGAGACTATGGATTAAAAAAAATGATATAACAAAAGGGCATAGATCAGACAACAGATGCAGTAAAGGGATTGTAGTGTAAATAATGAAATAAATGATGACTGTGTGTGCAGTACATGGTGGTGTGAGTCAGCTCTGAGCTATGGGCCTTTGGCAGGCCTCTCCTTTGTCTCCAGCTGGGACGGAGTGTTCCACTCGTCTGCTCCTCTCCCCACCACCCTCCTACCCTGGTCTAAACATTGTTTCATCACTACTACTGCAGGTTGTTATGGGTGCTGATGCAGTAGATGAAAAAGTGTGCAATAAAGCAGATAAACCAAGTACATGACATCTCAGTACAAGTAGTTGCAGATCATGGCCGAACAACACTGTCAGCTTTAGTCATTCAGTCCTTAATTAAAGAGGTTTTGTGCCCTCCTAATGTTTAACTTTTTTCTGAGACAACTTTATGCATCTTTAACATTTTGCAATTCTCTAAACTCTAAAAATAGCACTTCCATTGTGTGAGTGTGAGTGTGAGTGTGTGTGTGTGTGTGTGTGTGGGGGGGGCAGTTTTACCCCTCAATACACTTTCTAAACACAGTTGAATGGTTTACAGATGAGTAGTTTTTCATTCTGCATGGCAAATCTGACCTGAGGTGCACCTAAGGTCCTGCATGCTGCATAACCAGTGCCCAGTTTGCCTCTCATTTTTAAGAAAGGAAAAAAAAAAATAGAAATACAAATCCAACAATAGGAAGTCACACACATGGGTGAAGTGTTAAGCACAAAATGGTGAGGCTTTCGTTTCCTGATACTGATGTTGCCCTTAATCTAAGAACACGACCTCTGGTTGTACTGATGTTCAGATATACACTGGAAGCAGGCTGCTGGAGCCAGTTTAGACCTAATGCACATGTGAGCCGAGAGAATGAAGCCTGGCACACTAAAGTAACTCACCCACTATAATGGGAGGAATTACTGGCCAACTAACATGCCGTGCTGAAATAAAAGCTGCACATCTTACCGCTTGTTCAGCACCATATTTCCCAGCTTGAGGTCTCTGTGAACAATGTTTTTCTGCAAGCAGGAAAAAGTAGGGGGAAAAAAAAAAGAAAAAAAAAAAAGGTTATGTTGTGCTTTGTGAATCATTCGTATCACAACAATCTGTTCTAGGAGTGGCACAGGAGCATGGGAAATGAGTAATCAGAAATGATGATAGAAGGGGGGGGGAGAAAAAAAAAAAGTATTTTCTAAACAGTTGACAAAACATTGCAGTATCCAAACTGTTTGCTCAGAAAATTGCACAATCATAGTTTCATTTAGACACACTGGAGTGGTGCAACGGGAAATATTCTTTACAATGCTCTTCGATGAGTCGAGCACAATCCGTTTAGATTTACCTTGTGAAGAGCCTCCACCACACGCACCACATCATAGAAGATGACAATGGCTTCCCGCTCACTCAAGCGCTTCTCCTTTATGACATAATGCTGGAGATTTATTAGATCTGCCGTCTTGTCACTAAAGTCATGTGCACACAAGCAGTCCAGCACGAGGCAGAGACGCTTTTTCATCTTGCGCATTTTGTTAGCATCCGTGTCCTCCACAATCTCATAGGCTCGATCCTGGAGAATAAAAAGGTAATGCGTTTAATATGCAGCATATCCAGTCAAAAAGGGGTAACAAAACCACATGCAAACAAAAGGGCTTTCTGCTATCAGCTGATCAAATAGATTTAACAGATTGATTGGAAATAAAGATTGCAGCGCAGGAGCCATTAACAGCCTGCCTGTACCCAAGATAAAGACAACATCTACCCTGAAACACTGGGTGCTATAGACCAGCATAGGCGATTCCATCTTCCAGCACCACCTAGCAGAGACACCACTTTATTGATTTTTGTATCAGATTGTCTTTTTTTTTTTTTTAAGATTCAGTCAGCACCTCTTAAACAGTACATTAAACCCAGCCTCTCACAGCACAGATGCACTATAATAATCCAATCAATATCACAAGCCTAAATGAATCAGAGTGCATGGCTCAATGCAGCTATTCTGAGAACACAGGCAGAATGAAAGAGACAGGATGTGAAAGAGAGACAAGAGGAAACGGAGACAGAGATTTAACAATAACAACGTTAAGAGGACGCCGACGGGAAGACAGGTGAAAAGGTAGGTGGGCGGTGGGGGTCATTATGAATAAATGTGAGTGTAAACAGAAGATGACTGCAGATAAATATAGTTTTAATGGCACTCCCACTTCTCTTTTGAAACCCCTTGGATAAGAGAATAACAGCTGGCTGACAAGCTTACTGCTGCCACTGAGCTGATAAGTGCATGCCGTTACTTGTACTTGCATAATGAAACCATATTCTAAAATGAATAGAAAGTGATAGAAACCTCTCCACATATAGAATGCCTGCCAACCTAGTGCTGACTAATGCACAGCTTGTGAGGTTCTAGGCCAGTGCAATGTTTAAAATAACATTTTGGCAGAAAGTTTTCATAGTTTTGGATATTAGACACTTCTTTGCCAGCCAAACAAACTTCACTGTAGATAAATCAATAAAGCGCTTTAAATTCTTAGACCTCTTTACAATGAGGACAAATTCAGCCATAACTAGATGCCAAATAAGGACCAATCAATAAGTGGTTCAAAATAGACGACACAGGTTGATGCCATTAGCATATCTTATTTGCACAACAGTTAAAGCAAATATTGACTGAAAAACATACAAACAAAAAGACAACAAAAAAAACTTTATATTCCTAACATTAACTAAGAAACATTTTATCCCTCCACACTGACAAAAGCAAAAAGCAACTCAACTCAAGTCTCAGCCTACCTGAAAGAGGCCATGGTGGTGGACCACACCATCTTGGTTGTGCAGCAGAGAAAGAAGTGAGTATTCTGTGTGCAGCAGCATCTTCCCCTGCCTCTCCTCTTGTGTCTCCTTGGCAGAGTCTACTCGTTCCTCCAGCGTCAAAATCTGCAGTAACCACACACAGAGCAGACATTAGGCCCCAAGACAAGAGTTTATAAAAGCCCCTTTTCCATTAGCATTTACTCGGATCAACCCGACAGGTTTTTCCCATTCCTTTCGAGTAGCACCTAATGTGTGTGGTCGTCATTATAGCAACACAGCCAAGTGTCCCGTGACGCTATGCGATACCAACGTTACTAGATGGACGTCGAAGCAACTATATATCTGCTGCTTGGTCTGTGGCTTCTCGTCAGACTCTGGGATCACAAAATGTTTTTTGTAACCTTTTCCCCGATTTCCAGGTTTAAAAAGGTGATTTTGATTTTCGTGAACGAGATGCTTTCATGACTCATCGAGCGACACCACTGATCAGCCAATTGGTGACGGCGTCACATTTTTTCCACCTCCTCTGATCACTTTGGCACCCTGGCTGAGCAGGTACTACTTTAGTCCCTGGTACGAGGTACTATGACCTAATGGAAAACCCGGAAAACTATGGCGAGTCATCTGAGTAGGTACTAATAGAAAAGGGCTAAAAGGCACAGATAGCGTTCCCGCCCCCCCAAAAAAAGGCGCACTTTAATTGCTTACTCTTCAGTCCTAAAACAAAACATTTAATGACTTAAGTCAACAAGTTCTGGAGTAAACAGGGTCGAGCTGGACTCAGGTCAATGAAGTAAACAAGCTCTGTGTCATACGTATGACGGAGGGTTGTGAGGTTTAAAAGTTGACATTACAGGTGGCGCAAACCCTCATTCCACTCAACTGTAAAGCTCCCCACTTGTTTAACAAACATCGAACAGTCCCAGTAAACTGACTGCTAGACTTAAACAGGGCAATAAAATGAACAGCAACAAAAGGAAGGTCAAAAGTTCAGGTGTCTACAGGTCACGTAGCTTTGTTTTGAACAAGATGCCCAATCTTAATTGAGTCATATGTTTGTAAGAAAGAAACTCAAAACACCACAAAACAACAACATTTCTACCCAGACAGACTTACTTTGAGTTGATAGAAGTCATCTGTGCCGTCTTTTCTGGCCAGACACTGCACTATGCTCGGCACTGGTGAGTTGCCCAGGCGAGGCCCTGCAAGGACACGAAAGGGAACAGCTGCATGACCAAAAGGCTACATGCTGAAGTGTGTGTGCTCTCACTGCCACTCATTAAAGGCTGCATTTACCCATTAACACCTCAAGTGTAATGTTTTCTTTGGAAGCCTGTATTGCAAAGAGTGGAAGAGTTGTGTCCAATGTACATTTTATAGTATAGGAAAGAAATTATTTTTTCAATGGGAGGAAATAAAGTTGCTCAAACAGACTAAGACCTTTCTAGTCAATGTCATGACGATCTGCAAAAATTCTTCAAATTCTTGTCTTAGGCCCTTCATACACAGACAGACACCCCCCTATTTCCTGTATTCATGTGAAGCATATTTACAATGCACACTAGGTGAAATTTCATCCAGCCAACATTTCAACCTTTTTCAGAACTGAGCAAACACTACTAGTGTCCTTACCAAGAATAAAGGGCCCAGCTCTCTTGGCATTACTACCGGATATCCCGGGACTCTGCAGCTTGCTGGCTCTGCCTGATGTCTCACCAGCCCCCCTCTCCGACGAGCGCCGCTTAGACATACTGGAGCTCTACAGGGGAATAAATCTGATTAGCACATCAGATAAAGACCTTCAGGTTAAAGGGAAAGTGCATGCATCTGACTGGGGGGGAAAAAAACAAAAAAAACAAAGCAAATTGAACAGAGGTCATGTACTACTCATCTATAATCAAGTCTGTATTTTTAAAACTAGTGATACATGTTTAACATATCTACTATAAACTTAGCAATAGTTCTGCAGACTGTGGTAGAAAGAACAATGGGGAAGGCTTTGTAGCACCTCCACCTTTAAATATTCCACACTCAGTTACCGACACCTCAGTGTCAATGCGAAGCCATTACAGCACCATTCCGACTAATAGCTGCTCGTGGCAAGGGTAACACCTCAGATTCAATCTCCAACAGCCTATGTTAATGTGCCAAAATCTGCAATTTAAACAGCTAGCACTTTCACATAAATTAGAGCCACTTGCACAATACTGTTTAAAATGGAAGCTTTTCCGATTAATACTTTAATCTTTAGCTTTTCCTGCTGCAGTGGACTTGATTCAGAAAATCCTTCCGCTCTAAATCTGTTGTACAGCCAGGACTATCTGAACGGATATATTCTAACTACAGAGGGGGAAAATAAATAAATAAAATAAAGTGTCCTGATAGGAACTTTATTCACATGCCAGAAAAAGCAGAGAGAGTGTGACACATCATTGCACAAACTACGTTAACTGACACAGCAGATCTGATCTGCCTCCCAGAATTCAGAGAGCAAGAAGTATGCAGCATGTTTTGTTTACTGATACAGAGTTCCTATGTAATGAAACCCCATCCGTTTCCCATAACAGGGAAGTAGTGCCCTGAACCGAGAGGAATGATTCACCCAGCTGTCGTCCAGAGAGCCTTAAAAGTCTAAGCGATGACACCGATAAGAGTCTGCACAAGCCTCTGGCAGGTGCAGCTTAGATATATCGCTTGTATGTGGACATTTTGTGTGAGCTTTTCTATCTCTGAGTGTCACATCTCTACGTTAAATGTCACTGATAAGTAGTATGCATATTTGAGCCACAGCAAAGATTCCCCACACACAAAAACCTTATATTATACAACATCTTTTAAAGTTTGATGGAGACCCAAAAAGCTTTAGAATATCTCAATCTTGCATCCGACAAACTCCAGAAAATTCTTTTTAATGAACCTGCCCATCTTCCTGTTTCAAAACTAATCGTGCACCACTGCCAGTTAGTAATATTTTTTGGGCAGAGAGGAGGCAGGACAGTTGGCAGTCAGTAGAGCTGGTATGAATTCTCACTTCCATGAGGCTTTTTGTGATCCCAGACAGCAGACAGTGTCATCATCATGTCTCTCGCCCATCTGTCTCCATCTCCACTAGTCATCACCCACTGAGTCTGATGAGCTGAGGTTTTCTGACTGCATTTATGGCACAAGCCAGAGTGACACCAAGTCATGCTGCCAGTAGTAAGAAAGCATCTTACACTAGAGGACACAAAGCAACAGATAATTAGGCATTACAATTTATGACTTGTGGGCAGGAAATTAATTTTTCAGGCAGCCGCCAAAGAAGCTAACAGAACGAACCGTGTACACGGGGGGTTCCAGCGTTTCCAGAAAATAAACTAAATTGTGGATGAGTGCTAGAGTTAAATAAGTACATGGAGCAACTCTCTCTCTTCCAACCGAATAAGCCGAAATGCTTATGCACCTTGAACTACAACACTAAAATGACTCATAGGCAGATACAACACACAAATGAACCCAAAGCTATTCATGTACTTACTAAAAACTAGCTGCAGTACTGTGGAGCCAACCTGAGAGTCATCAAAGAAAGCAAAGGTCAATTTAACCAATTTATCCACACTGACCTAAATTACTTCAGCGTGATGACAACAGCGGTTCCTTTTCTGACACTGCTGTGCCTCTCTGCACAGCCTATGATCTAGTAAGCAAGGCTGCCTCTGCCTGTATCAGATGGAGGACAAGAACAGATAAAGCCTCTGAATCATATCACACAAAAGGAGGAGAGACACGCTGCCAGTGCCCACGAGAAATGTGGGCTCCTTAAATAGTATCAGAACAAAACAACCACGTAGGTGTCTCAAGATCCACCCACCCAGACTCCAAGCCACTTGTCTGGCCTGCAAGAAAAGCTGAACTGCGATAGCAAGGTAGTACAGAGATGGAGAAAAAGCAAAATGGCACTTCGGTAGTAAACATTACAAAGTAAAACCGTGCAGAAAGGTATGCTATAACACATGCACAGATGCAAAGCCAGTTACAGACAAAGTAACTTCAAGGTCAGATCTCCAGTCCTTATGCTTAAATGCAATGCTACTGATATCCGTTCACACGCTGCCCCTGCTCCTAGATGCAGCCGACTAGATTCTGGCAAAAACAACGCCCTTGACCATACACCAACGTCGTGGACACAAGGTCACATTGCAAATCACCTGACAAAAATAACTACAAACGCGCACACGCACACACACACGTCGTTTGGTGCCATTTTGCAACCACAAGGTCTGGACTGGACACCGTTCAGTCCTGGCAGCAAGCACTGTAAACGAGACGGGTCGTAGAGTAAAGCGCTGACGTTATGCTTTGCAACTTGGACAAATTCACTCTACAGGCAGCTCAGTACTCCAGCAGCCAGACGCTGATGTCTGGCTCTTCTATAGATCTCTTTGAACAAAAACTACCTGAACGATCTCAAACGTTTAGGTACACGCATCTAAACCAGACTGCAAAGCGCGAATAAATGAATGCTTGATTGCGGCAATTGCTTAAACACCACAAGGCAAGTTATTTTTACATTGTACACTTACCGACAGCGACATAAAACCAATGTTAGGCACGCATACAAACTTAGTACGGCAGCGAATATGATCGATTTACTCGGCTAAATACGGATCTACCGACCACACAAAGGGGGCACACAGCACAACAAGGAGTTAGTATTTCGGTGACAACTACACTGAGCGGCTGTTAGCTGAAATACGGCTGCTTTACGTGTCTTCTCGCGTACCCAAGAGGTTTAAATATGGTTGCTCCTGGCGAGCGATGTGAGCTAACGCCAAGCTCGAGGCTACAGAGCAGGCGGCAGGCCATTTAAACAAAGTAGGTAACATTACAGCTGGCTAGCCGTGCCAAAAAGCTAGATAGCAACGTAGTCACCATCTCACTTACCTCGAGCCTAAACCGCCGGGTTAAATCTGTGTCGCCTCCTTAAAACATGGACATTTCTTCGGTGAACGCTGCGGTAGATGTGAGGCGCTTCTCGTTTTACACAGCAGACACCACAGAGGTTTGCTTTCGGCTTTTTTAGCCTCTATTACCGAAATGAGCAATTAAGGAAAAGCCTCCGCTCTTCGCTGATCGCATCTTTCCACAGCGACAGCGCCACCTGACAACGGAAATGACGCACACAATTTATTTGATTGACAGCCGCACTCGACCAATGCAGACAGTTTTTTCATAGCCGTTTCAGAGTGATGATGAAATTCTATGCAAATAGAAGTTTAGCTACAAGACTGTCTGCCAGACAGTCTAAGATTTAATTAGCGTTCTTTCTTGCATTTAAAAAAATATTATCTTTGCATCATAAAAGTTGCAAAGTGAAAATGATTACATAAGAGTTGAAGAGGCTTATTGTAAATCATACTGAAGGATGATGTTTGCAATGTCATGTTTTGCTGGCAACTTAATTACAGATAATATGATAAATCATGGGTTTTTCCTTTGTTTATTTGAGCAAGATTGTACTCACAATGAAGCGGGATTAATAGGGGTGAAGCTTTTACATTAAACAACTTGCATTTGTTAAATCTAACATTAAAGGGAATTCCGTATAATTTATAATATTACATTAAACACAGCAGTCTTTAACTTTACTCACTGACTTTACTTTTCATTTAACTGTTTCGTGCACAATTACGTAAGGAGATCTCTGAATTGTTGCTTCATAAGGCTTTACCTTGCAGATTCTCTTTAATGACCTACATAGTACACTTAATTTAGGTCAACCATATGACTCAGTGAAACTGTGTATCACTGAATTCATTCAGATCTTCATCTGATAAATACATAACATATTTACGATATCTGGTCCCTCTCTTCTAGATCAATTTGGAGAAATGTCTTCTTGACAAGGGCTCTCTGTATGTTATTCAGCAACAGCCAACCAGTAGACCCCACTCAAAAGTAAAAGTCTTAGTCATTTACTCAGTAAAAACAGTCTTGAATGACAGTGGCATTTAGGAGAGCCCACCTATCTCAATTTAGACTTACCTTGACCTTAATTTCCACCCACGTGTACCAGTTTCAAACCAGTGGGAAGATGTGACAGACACAGAGAGGGCAACCTAAATATCAGATCCTTATTTGAGTTGCACTAGTCTTCCTGCCTTGACTCAGCCGAGCATATACCCCCAGCCACATGAAACGCATGTCACCCTGTGGCTTTATAGTGTCCTGCCCACAGTTTTTAAAGAGGAAACTGAATCATAACTCAAACATGGGGTCTATGGGAAAACCTGTTAGAGGGTTGTTGTTATCATGCTTAGGGCAAGGCTGCATGGACATTATTAATTCAAAATCACCCCCCTTTTTATATTACTGCGTACACCAATTGAACAAGAAGTGCAGTTTTTGTTTGCAAAGCTTTATGGTGAAGCATTGTTTCTTCTGAAGTGCTGCTGATTCAGGTGGCTGATTCTAATAAAGAGTCTTGCAGGATGACTGGTATGAGCTTAAGTTTCTGTTTGTTTTGGAAGTAGGCTGTATCCTTAGGGCATACAGTGTTTCTTGTCTCCCCTTTGCCAAGATTATTGGGAAGACCTCACCAGAATCCTCCTCCCCAACATCAATCTGGAGAAGTGTCTCAGCATGTTTTTCTTGCATGGTATGCTCCATTTTGATGTGTGTGTGCGTGAGTGTGAGACAATCACAGTCTGACTGCAGACATGACACGTACAAGAGACAACTGTTTCAGTAGCAGTTCTCATTAGGTGTTTGTACTGCAGAAGAGAAGTTTTGTGGAGATATTGAAGCATGGTGATTGTAGTTTTCAAATTTGCTGGTAAATGCTTAAGCATACAAAGCCTTAATTGCTCTGACTTTTAAAATGCACTTCATTGAGTCCTCCACAGTGATCACTTTTTTTTTTGTTGCAGGATTTTAACTAAGTGGAGTCCCGTGTGATACATTGCTTAACAATACAAACTGTGTTGCAAAGAAAGTCAGATCGCGCCACCTACTGCTTGAAAGTGTTAACTACAACAAGCTGTTTCAAGGTTCATGCCAGTATTAACACTTTGTTGCATCAGAACCCAAACTGGTGATGCATTTAATACAATAATCTGTTCAAGAGATTAGATTTGTTTTTTTATTTAAAAACAAACAAACAAAAACAACCCCAAAATCAAACCCCCCAAACAATACACTGCACATTCAATGAAAGCAGCAATATGGACTCGCCTACATAGAAAATCAAGTATACGCAATAAACATATTTACATATTACACAGTCATATTGCATTATGCTATACTATAACAATGTACTCATTTCTATAAGCACATTTCTATACTTTACATACACATCACAGGATAATGGAATATGTCTTACAAGTTGCTCCTCAGACTCTTTTAAGGTAGAACAGTATTATAAACACATTTGTTACCAAATAAAGACTAAAGAATTCATGTCACACTGAAAAAGAGCACTTGGGTTTCCTCCAGTTCTCTCATCACGTAGTCACTTGTTCATTAGAACAGAAGAATTCACAAACTTCTTCTCTGGATGGTGTAAATTAAGATACAATTCAAAAGGGGAATAATTAGAAATAAAGAACCACCAAACTGTGGACTCAGTCTGAAAATTGACTCAAACTGTTCGGTCATTGCAACTGTTAAAATAATTTAAAGAATATTACATAGAATAGAATAAAAGCTGCAAGATATTGCACTGTATAAACACTTGTTTTGCTATTATCACATGGTCAATAAACTAATATACAATAAGCCAACTGTACATTGAACCGAAATACCTTTGTGTTTACAGCAAACATACTATTACAGCTTAATGCTTGCCTCACCACACATTCTTTGTTCTTGAATGCAAATATGCAGCTGATCGTCTGACAACAAAACTGCTCACACCTGCTTTGTAAAAGCACTTGAGCAAGCAGTTTTTCTGGCTGCATGCGATTCTGCTGTAGTGCATTTGCAGGTATGGAAAGCAGACTGGTCTTTAGTAGTGCGGACTGTTGACAACGCAATGTTCCCAATCCCTGGCCATTTCTGTCACTGTGACCATGTCACAAACCGTCCATCATGGCCAGAAGGTCGTCCCCTTTGTTGCTGACACTGGGAGACTGATCTCCTGACTCTGTAAATTCACCCATGATCTTGGCCAACTCTGCATTGGCTTGCTGGTCCTGAAAGACAATAAAACGCACCAATCAGAGTGTTGGATGGGCCATTACAGGGATTTGAGCCTCATCACAGTAAATCTGGTTGGTCTGGCAAAGCCTCACATCTTGAACCAATTACTATACAGTCTTAAGCCCAACACTGAGATAAGTAACATTTAGCCCTCAGTGCAATAAAGGTTTTATCAGAGGCAGGAACAAATAGTCCATCAGTGGTTCGACTGGATTTCCCCCGCCCCCCCCTGTCAGAGATAAGAAGCCTTGATTCAGTCTTTTTGAAGTTTACCTCTCTTGCTTCTTGGTTCAAAGGGGCGAGCAATAGGGCATTTGTTCGGATCTGAAATGTATCCTTTTTCACCTGCTGTTTGACGGATGCTACTTTAATAAACAGTCTAGAACCTCTATGAAAGCTGTGCTCATGGCTGTTACAATGAGTCCTATAATTCAAATAATTCCATGAAGAGTCCTGATCATGCATTGAGATTTTTCAGAACTAAGGTCGGTTTTCAGATACGTTTCATTTCACTGGAAAAGCAAGATGTTTATATATGGAGGTTAAAGTGGGAGAAGAGCGGCACCCCATCAGAGATAGAAGGGAAAGGGAAGCAGATTGTCTAAAGCATAACAAATACCAGTGTAATTTTGTAAGTTTTCCTGGTCTGTAATCAGTTGTGTAGTTTCTGCAGTGACAACAACAACAAAGTTCTCATAGTGTTGAAAAGAACAACAATACTGAGATTTTCAATTTTATAGTCTACCCTTGCCCTTTGATGACAAATTGCTTTTCTGTAAATAAATATGCCAATTACACATACACACACACACACAACAAAAAAATGCAGGATATGCAGCTTTCCTACACAAGTTGGCTGCGATTTAAGGTCATTTAGATTTACCTTGGTTGCTTGGATGTTTATGACTCCATATGAAAGCTCATCAGGTCTTGATATTAATGCCTCTCTGTAACAGAGTCACAGTGTTACTTCTGATTGTTTCAAAGAAAATAAAAAGTATTTTTCACATTTTGAATAGTAATGAAATCATTACATCTGATACATATGGACACTCACTCTTCTTCT